AATTTCTGCATTGAGACCGCGTGTGACTCATCTATGGATGCCTAGCACCGCAGGTCGGAAAACAGCAGAGAAAGCAGTTTATTTTCACCCGCTTGTTTGCGCCGATGCTATGAGTCATCGCGCAGGTGTGGTTGTGAAAGCTGTGGTAGTCTAGAATGTCCTTGAACGCTCTACGCGGGCGAGAGGACCATAAAGTCATGCATTTTCTGCCTGCAGCTACTTTCTCCAGCTACACTTTTGTTGAACTGTGGGGTTTTCCCGTCCTGACATTGTTTTCATTGTTTCTGGCTCTTCGTCGAAGTCCTGGATATAATGCTGTTAAACTATTAGAGTTCCATGGACTTATAGATAAGCACTCTTTTCATTATCGCTGTTTTATTTAATTAGGAAAACTAGTGCGAAAGTTAATCCTCTAAGGTTTCTTGCAGATGCATTTCGTCAAAAAAGTCCCAACAAGCGAGGAAGAGAAGGCGGTGAAAGAAAAGGAAAGATCCATAAAACTCAAAGTTTTCTGTACTGTTCGAGATCACATATTCGAGAAAAGAAAGAGAGGTAAGTTTATTTACCAAAATAATTCATGAAAAGAGCGCTCAGCTCTACTGAATTATAGGTGAACTTGATGATGAAATGCTAAGCCTGACCCAGAGGTTACTAGAAAAGAATCCTGACATCTACACGTTCTGGAATATTCGAAGAGATACAATCGAGAAGAAGATCGCAGCTTGGAAAGAATCTCAAGTGTGTCAGTTTTGCCGTTTATACTTTGCTCACCAGCGTTTATTCAGTTCAGCTTTATTATGCTTTACTATAAATATTCAGGATAAGGCGCAGGATGAAGACGAAAAGGCCTCATATGGAAAGAAGATTGAATATCTCCTTGGTGGTGAACTGTTTTTGACACAAACGTGTCTCGAAGTTGGTTAATGTTGAATCATTTATTTTTATTTGTAAATTTTTGTTATGTAGGCAAATCCTAAGTCCTACTCTGCTTGGTTCCACCGCGGATGGGCTTTGAAAAGAATGAAGAATCCCGATTTCAAGCGCGAATTGGCTCTCTGCGAGAAAGCATTGAAGTTGGATTGCAGGTACGCTTTCTTTCGCTGTGAGACTGCCAGATCATCACCATTTGCAGAAATTTCCACACATGGGATCATAGACGTGTAGTTGCAAAATTAGCAAAGCTTGGCCAGGATGAAGAACTAGAGTAAGTTTTATTCGTCGTATTTGCGATTTTCTGAACTCTATATGTTTACAGATTTTCAAATAAACTTATTGGAGAAAATTTCTCTAACTACTCGGCTTGGCACTATAGAGCTGTGCTCTTGCCAAAAATGCAAAATAGTAAAACTGGAGAGTACAAGCTTGATGATGATACTGTTGCTGCTGAATTGAAGGTGA